GTGGAACTTCGATTGATCGAAAGAAGTCCCGATCGATCAAAGAACACCACAATCGATCAAAACAAAGCGATGACAGCTCAGTAATCTGGATAAGGCCAAGAAGATATTTTCATGACACGTCAGTTTCGATTAATCGAAGTAAGTGTTTAATCGATTGAAAACCCTTTGATCAGTCGAAATGACTGCTGGCAGTGTGCTGTCTAATTCCCGAGCACGCCCGAACTCTACTTACTTTTGTAGCTGCGAATTTCTACTAATCAGAGGCAGTATTTTTGACTTGTTGCCTACTCAAAGAGGCTTGCAAAAGATTAATTGAACCAATTTTGTAAAGAGTTCCTCAAGTAGATATTTTACCAATTATAGAAATAGTTTTTCTCTCTAGAACTAAGGTTTGTGAAGAAAGCAAGGATGAGGAAGATAATGCCAACCTCCAAGTTAACCCTTGAGGGTTCCATGGCCACAACAATGAGCGGCTAAATCCTTCTCTTGGGGCTAGAGATAGCCCTTAGGCTTACTTCCTAAACCTAGCTTTTTGTATATTTTTGGGGATTTTAGTTGTAACTGATGTTTTGACCATAAATAAATATAGATCTTGTGATTTTACATGATTTGTATGGATTAATGCATTTAATTGATCATTTAATTATATCCATATGTCTATGTATGCTAGAATGAATGTTCATGTGCTTTTTTCTATATTTAATGAAATTGATGCATGTTTGAGTGTGTTGATATTATGAATCTAGTGATGGTCAGGGCATGGTGCTTAATTGATTACTCTTGTGGTTTATTTAATGGTTCATACTTATTTCTTGTTGAATTGCGCCACTTCCTTAGTTTAATTTTCATATCATTTTCATAGTTATAGTGTAATTGCTTTAATTTCCTAGATAGGTAGACAATCCATTCTTGTTGTTTGATGTTCCATACTTATGAATACAAGAAGTACATTTCTCTAGATTTTTGTGTGTGCACTAATTGTGGTTTAATTGAATGGTTAATGGTTTCCTTTGATAGTTTGTGCTACTCACTAAATTGATTAGACAATCTATGCTTATTTGCCATCCATACTTAGTTTCCAATTGGTGACACACAAACACACATTTTATAACATGAATTTTTCTATTAATTTACAATTGCTAGTGTTTAGTGAAGTGAAGCTTAGTAGTGAACTGTAAGCCCGAAGACCTTTCTCTCATATTACTTTCTTTAATTTCTAAATTGTCACTTAATTGTATTGTTTTCATTGAACTATTAGTTAATTAATCAAATCAAATCCCTCTTTTGATCATTCGACGTACTAATCCAATATTGATTCCAAAATACCCTTCATTTCCCTTGGGACGATCCCTACTCACTTTTGCTACATTAGTAGTTAGTAGTGGTAGTGGCATTCTACAAATTTAAACTTGACCACATTTTATCACACTTTGAGCTTTGGTTGTTGGCGACCCACCACTCAGGAAAATTTCATCTTCGATTGATCCAACCCTTTCTTCGATTGATCAAACCCTTTGGTCTTATCCTCATAACAACTTTTGTCATTTTCCCCATAAATATCTCAGCCTTTGTCTTTATCCAAATAAACGCGCCGCCATGCTTTGATCGATCGAAGCAACAGTGTGATCGATCAAACTGCCTCAAAAATCGTGCAAAACAGATTTCAAGCCCAATTGACGGTGTGCTCGTGGTGCAATCATTTGGAGGTCCTAGTGCAAGAGTTCTGACCATTTGGGGTGTCATTTGAGCTACCTACATCAGGGATTTGGCTATTTTTAGTAAGGGAGGTTAGTTAGTTGGATACTTTTAGCTAGAGATTAGAGATAGACTAGACATAATTTGGGATGATTCTCTCTCCATTTTCTAGGGTTTCTATCAAGAACACCAAGAGGAGGAAGATGAATTCAACCATGAAGAGAGCCCTTGAGGGTTGGGTGACAACAACCATTAGTGGTTAGATTATTCTCTTGGGGCTAGAGATAACCATAGGCTTACCTCCTAAACTTTAATATTTTGTAATTAGTGGGGATTTATGTTATAAATTTTGTATTGACATTATGCTTATATAAATCTTGTTTCTACATGATTTGTGTGGTTTAATGCTTCCAATTAATCTTTTAATTCTATTCATATGTCTATGTGTGATGGAATGGATGGTTATGTGCTTACACTTGATTCTTTACATTTAATGCATGTCTATGTGTATTAAAATTATGGATCTAGTGTTGGTCAAAGCATGGTGCTTAATTGACTACTCTTGTGATTTATTTGTTGGATTACGCTTATTTTTTAATGGATTGTGCTACCTCCTTAGCTTAATTAGTTTAATATCCTTGTTATTAGTATAATTGTAGTGTAGTTGCTTTAATTTCTAGATAGGTAGACAATCCATGCTTATGATGCAAGTAGTGCATTTCTCTAGATTTTTGTATGTGCATTGATTGTAGGTTTATTGAATGGTCAATGGCTTAATTTGATAGGTTGTGCTACTCACTAGATTGATTAGACAATTTATGCTTAATTTGCCATCCATGCTTAGCATTTCAATCAATGGCACATACACTTGTTTTACAACATGGAATCCCCTTAATTTAACAAATGCTAAATGTTTAGTGAAGTAAAGCCTAGTGGTGAACTCTATGTCCCAAGACCCCTCTCTCATTCTCTACACCTCATTTACTTTAGCTTGTTTTACATTGCATTGTTTTTAATTAATCATAGCATAATTCAACCAACAAACCACTCTCTTTGATTATTTAATCTACTAATCTAATTTCAATCCCATAGTTCTTGAAAATCCGTTGGGACGATCCAATTTCACTCATACTACGTAGTATAGTGTTAAGTGATTTTTATAAATTTTAAATATGGTGGTCACTTCTCACACTCACACTTTTTACATCATTTTGAGATTACGGTCCAGTCCACACCAAATTGGGACATCAACGAATCTGGCGAAAATGATGTCTTAAGGCCATTCTTAATATCAAGTTCAGAAAATGTCTGGACTTGATTGGTGATTGCAGTTTCTAAGGCCCTTAAGGGCATGTGAAAGAGGGGAAAGGAGTAGCTGGAGATTTTTTATGTTGTGGTCTGAAGTTGGCCATATCGTGACGGGTCACAACCTACCCGATGATCCGTTAAATGCGCTTTGTGTGGGATATTAAGAAAAACTTAAATCGTGAACCCTAATTAGTATTATTTTGTAACCCGATATATAAGGATAATTAGGATTTAAAGTAGAATATTGATAAGTATTGAAAATCGCAAAAAAATAAATAAATAAATCAATAAAAAAGTGAGAGCAAGAGCTAGGGTTTGGGGCTAAAACTTGTAGTCTCCTATTTTTGCATAGTGAAAACTTTCGCAGAACTTCACCATGGATGTAGGTTTTGTCAAACCACGCTAAATCTCTATTTCCTTTTTGCATTCTTCTATCTCATTCTGTTTATGTTTACCTTCCTTCTTTAAATCATCCATTTCATTCATTACTTCTTTCAATTCTCTAGTTTGCTTCTTGAAGGCTTTTGTGGAATAAACAGGTTTGACATACATTTAAGTGATGGCTTTCGCATAATTCTCCTTTGTTGCTTCATTGTAGAAATCTTCCTCATTATATGATTTTTTCACCTCTTCATTACTTGAATCAGACTCATCTGTACCAAATAAAGAAGAACCTTTAGCAGTGTCATTACTCACAATAGCAACAAAACAAGAGAATTATCAGATGAATCATTATCATCAGAAATTGAAGTTTTTGTTACTTTTACCTATTTTTAGGACTTAGACACACTATTGATGGATGACCTTCACCACCACATGTCCAATAAGTGATTTCAGTTTCCTTAGACTCTTCTCCTTTCTTTGTATCTTTTCTCTCTTCCCTTTGATAATGACTCTCTATCCATATTTTTGAACTTTGGCTCGAGTACTTACATTAGCCTTTTGAGACTTGATCAAGTTCTTAACCTCATAGTGTTATAAGCAACTTCTTCATCAGAGTCGTCATCATACTTAAGCTCTGACTTTAAGGATTTGACCTTTGAAGCTTTTTGGGCTAAATCCTTAGGTTTTTGTGGGGATCCATAGTATTTCATCTCATATTTTTTTTAGAAGTCCTACTACTTCATCAATTCTCATGGTCTCAATGTTTTGAGTTGTTTGCAATGTTTCAACTTTGATTCTAAACCTATCAGGCAAACACCTAAGAATTTCCCTATTCATTTTCTTATCTTTCACCCTGATCCATAGGTTTAGAAGACCAGACACAATTATGTTGAGTTTCAAATAAAACTAATAAAATGTTGCATCCTCTTCCACCTAGATACATTCAAATTGAAACACAAGCATTTCAATTTTTTATGTTTTGACTTCATCAATGCTCTCATAGCTAGGTAACTTGAAGTATATCCCATGATTCATTTGTTGTATTGCAATGAGCAATTCGAGCTAGTTCATTTTGAATAGCAACCTTAAAAATTGAAAATAAAGCTTCATTATGGATAACGCTCTTAAGGAAGGTGGATCTATTCAACGTACTCCTTTATTTGATGGTGGTAATTATTATTTTTTGAAAACTAACATGAGAGCTTTTCTTATGTCTCAAGGAAGATGTAAGTTCTAAATAGAGTAAAAAGTTGATGAAGTTGAGGGAGTTAGTATATTCAGGTATGTTTTTACAAACTCTACCTTGACAGAAGAGGTTTTATTTAACTTATTTTATTAGAGTATAATTTCCTCATATTGATCATCCCAATTGAAAGAAGAAATCAAAGATTATGATAATATTACTCATGTTGTGGAGGATTACGAACCCATGATTTTATTTAGTGCATACTCCATAAGATAAAAGGAAAATACATATAAAAGCAAAAGCCTTATTAGTCATGATCACAATTCGTAAAACTATAAGAGGCCCAGTGACTACCACTCATATTGCAACTATTCTCAATAACATGGTATTTGAGTTGTTGTTCAGTTATTTAAATAATTGTAGCTAGCTATACCCAAATAGCTCCAGCCCGGATGAGCTCTTGGACAAGTTCGCCCCTGACATGGAGGCTCGTCACATCTTTCGCACCGCCAATTAACTTCTGCCCGATGTACACAACAGGTAAACTTTGTTTTATTCTCAATTTGCTTTTGATTTCCTCTCCGTCTGGATGCTGGTCGAGCTCGTAAACAGTAGGATTCGCCCCAAAACTGCGTATCAGTTGCTTAATGGAATGGCTAATGCAACATGAGGTTTCGCTAAAGATGACCACAGGATGACCAACCAAGCTCTCCAATGTAACCATCCCTACAAATGATCAAGAATAAGAAGATATTGCGAAACCTTTACCTTTCTCAAAAAAAAAAAAAAAAAAAAAAAAAGAAAGAAAGAAGAAGAAGAAGAAGAAGATATTGCCAAAATGATGAAGAAAGAGTTTGTTAACAAGGGAGTGATCTAGAGAGAGAGAGAAAACAATGTGGGATCTATGAGGCTTGGATAGAGCTAAGACTTTGCTTTGAAGAACTTGAGAGGTCCCATGGAGGTTATATATTGGCATAGGGGTAGTGGTTTCCACTACTTTTCAAATGGAAAACAACAAAAAACAAGAAAGTAAAAATGTTCCAAAATATTTTTAGATTCCAAAATATATATATATTTTCTTATCATTGTTTGTTTATGACCTGAAATAACAAGTTGTACATGAGCGTCGTCGTACATAAATTTTTTTTTTTTTTTTCCCAAAAAACGGGTCAAATAATTTCTTAATTTTTTATTTTATCTTGGCATAAAAAAATTAGAAAAAGGTTTTTTTTTTTTTTAATTAGAAAAAAGGTTAATTGGTATCGTTTCACAACCCCCAAATGAGGGCAGAAAATGGCAGTACGTCTATATTTAAATATTTGTGTGCGTGTGTGTATATATTCATTAGAGGACTTTCTAATACAAACCATGCAATTTAGAGCATCTTCTGAGCTGGAGAAAGATAGTACTGTTCATCCAACTGCGTAGCTTTTTTGTCCCCATAACAAGATTCGCATCTAATTCAAATTTAGGAATGCCAAAAGCTAATAGATTGACAAGTACATATACATGTGACAAATTTTGTAAGTAAAAGATGCTTATAAGTGGTAACTTTCCCTTAATTGCAAGCTAAGAAAATAATTAAAAATCCATATAATTACTATGAACATATATATACCTTAATGACATACCAACATTATGCAAGAGATGCTGCTGAGATATTCTCTCTCCATACATATAAAATTAATCACATGTTAATAATGTTATTAGTTGAACAATGTGAGCAAATCCAAATTATATCACCCTATCGCGTCATATATCTCTTTGTGAACAGGGCAATCCTAGGCTGTTGAATTAAAGCATTGAAGTAATAGAAAATTTTGAGAGATGTGTCACACACAAGCACCCAAAAAACTCAGCTCCAGTGCACCTCTCACTAGAATGCGTCCAATGAGCATTCAACGGCTGAGATAAAATCCACATCAGCTCACTTGCCTTGTCAGTGCCAGCTCAAAGTCATCTCAGCGCCTGATCAACGACTTATGTAACAAAGTTACTAACACACTTTCTTTCAGCACATGTACAAACACTCCATACAACATATACTTATACGTTATACGTTATACAATATATCATATACAAAATTATTTTATTACATTATACTTCACTTTTACCTTTTCAAAAAAATCCATGATGCTTCACATTTACCTTTTCAAAAAAACATTTTAATTTCCTCTTCTCTATCATTTTGCTCTCGTTCTTTGTTTTTCTTCTTCTACCCAGTATATATTTCCAAACTAAATCTTGTCAAAAGCTGAAGGATTATTTGAAGAGAAAGATTCACAAATTCTTTTAGTAGCGTATACTGTTGGTCCTAAGGTTATTTAAGCATTGTTTGCCTGTTTAATGTCAAAAACTTATTTATCAGTGGCTTCAAAGGGCTTATGTTCTTTCATTGTTATTTGAAATAAGCTTCAAGGACAGTTTGGTCACTTCCTTTACAGTGTCATTCCCCATTCATTGGCCTCAGTGTGTAAATCACAGTGTATTTATCCGTTGTTGCTAAATTTGCTGAGTTAATTGAGGTTCTTCCCTTGTAAAGATGTTACAGGTGTTCTTAGGGGCAGTATTATCTTTTTTTAGTTGTCCTTCATATATATACGTATGCTCAGGTATCTGCATTGCACTGGATTGTCTTGAATGGACCTGCATTACTCTTTATACAGTCTTAGGTCCTTTGCTTAGCTGAGAAGTGTAAAATCTATCACGAGGGTATTTTGGTATTTTTCAGCTTTGGTCAAATATGTGACATGTTTCAGTGGTCCCAGAGGGCTGGTATATACAAGAATATTTCATTCCTTAGAGGCTAAGTCTGGAGGAAAATGCAAGTTGACAGTAGTGCATTGTGTGTCTTTGATTTCTAGTGTGCAAGGTGACAAAATAGCTGAGGTGGCTTGCTGTGAGTGGTTCACTCTTCTAAAAATATCTAAATTATGCTTTATCAATCATTGGCTAAAGGTGACAGGTGTATTCCCTTGGTGTATGAAGCCTTGTGTATGCAGCATTGCTATATGTATGTTGTTATAGTAAGTTTAGGAACCCTTTGAGAGGAATGAAAAATTGAGCTGCAGCCTATGTTTTCTCAAGAGCATTGAAGGAAAAGTTTTTCCTGAGCATTTTCAAGATGATTGATACTTAAAAAACCTACTGAATATAAGCCTTGTTAATATACTAGCTGTAGTGATGTTGCTATTGTGATTTTTACTGATGCAAGGGCTAGACTGAGTAATGATTTTGAGTTCCAAGGTGCTGTGGTCTATTCTGAGGGTTGAAAAAGGTATAATTCATCTTTTGACACTTGCTAAGTGCTTTGTTTTGTTGAGAACATGCTGAAATTGAATTTTGACAGTGAGATCACCTGTTATGCTTATTTTACTGGTTCATTCTTGGAATCAAGCACTAATTGATTATATATTGATGTTTCATAAGTTTCTTAACTGCTAGCAAGTATACTTCGATGATTTAAGAGTGTTGAAGTTGATCTTGTGACAAAATATTGGTTAGTTGTGTTTTTGAGCTTTCAAACCCTAAGTCTTAAGGTGTATATATTTTGCTGAACCAAGAGTTGCTGCTAAACTTTATGCTTATCTCATGTTATACTTCATTGTTTAAAGTTATGATCATGAGTACCACAATGAATGAAGACTTAGTATGATGCTATTGAATGAATCTCGAGATGAAATTTCAATTTTACCCCTCAAACCCGAACTGTTGCAGATTGAAGTTTTGATGTGGTAACTTGGTATTTTAAGCTGTCAAACCTATTTCAATTGTAGGAGAGACTTGTTTGTACTATTTTACATTTGCTATGATGTATTTAATGAGCTTTGAGAGCTTGTATGGTTCAGGTATGGTTGCCTAGGAGAAGGGGAGTGTATGTTTACACTATTTGGTGCTAGTGTGTGAGTAAAGTGTATGAAATATAGTGTCTACTTCTGATACAAGGGTGTGTGTAGAGAGTGAGACAGCTGAGTGTGTAATAACTTACTTACAACTAGTGGATGGTTGCATTGGCTGAGGCTAAGACCCAAGGTTTTCCCCATTGAGAGGGTTTCCTTGTAAAATCTATTGCAGCTCTTATACTTCAGTGTTTTACTTATCTTTTAAGTTTTATTTGCAAAGGATTTGACCAATTCACCCCCCCTCTTGGTCCAACAATTGGTATCAGAGATTTGGTCTGCTGTGTAGGGTTTTTATAAACCTGCAATTGATCCTTGCAATGGATGAAGGCCAAGCTACAAACAAAAGCTCCAGGGTTTAGTGGTGTGAAATATGATTCTTGGAAAATCAGAATGGAGGCATTTCTAATGTCTCACTCTTATGATGTATGGCATGCTACTGTGCATGGTATAGTGATTCTCAGTCCTGAAAGTCCTACAGAAGCTGACAAAGTTGATGTGGCTAATGATAGTAAAGCAAAACATGTTCTTTATTGTGCTTTGAAGCAACAAGAATTTACCAGAGTCAAGAATTGTAAAACAGCTAAGGAAATGTGGGACTCTCTTCAAGCTGTTTATAAGGAAGCACAGTTATCAAAGAAAATAAGATTTAACTCTTTAAAGTTCAGTACAAAGCTTGCAAGATGGAAGAAAGGGAAACTGTGGATGAATACTTGTTTAGAATCAATGACATTGTTAATAACATGAAACCACTTGGTGAAGACATTATGGACTCTGATGTTTGCAAGAAGATACTTAGTTCACTCACTCCTAGGTTCAATGCAAAAGTTATAATTCTTAAGGACAAAGACTTATCTCAAATGAAGATTGATGAACTTCAAGCCTCAATTACTACCTATGAAATGAGAATTGGTGTTCCATCCCTTCAAAGAAAAGAAGCTGCTCTGAAAGCCAAAGAAGTTATAGAAGAATCTGAACTTAAGTCTGAATAAGATGATCTTGAAGAGGATAAAGTGGCCTATCTGTCAAAGAAATTCAAGAAGTTTAGGTTCAAGAAGAAACAGTCTCAAAACTTAACCTGTTATAGATGTGGTAAGCCAGGTCACTATATCTCTAAATGTCCATCTTCAAAAGGGCAATATCAAAGAAAGAATGAAGGGGGAAGCTTCAAAGGGAAATTTGGGAGGAAGGCACTTATTTCAGATTGGGATTTTGTACCTGAAGAAGATAAACCTGAAGAATCACAAGAAGATGAGTGCTTGTTCATGGCAATTCTTGAAGTTCCACAGGATGTATCTAAAGTTGAAGAAGATAGTGACTCAGAGATAGAAGAAATTCTTGAGTAATGTGAAAGACTTATTGTGAAGTGTAATCAACAAAAATCTCAAATAAAGACTCTCAACTCTGAACTGTAAAAAACCAAACAACTTCTTGTTAAACACTTCAGGCTTAAGCTGTCAACCTTATGCTCAGTTTCACTTATCTTCTCAAGCTTACTGAAGCCTCAATTCAACACTCAATGTTCTACTAAAAAGTGTAGAGAAGAACTTCTACTAAAAGGTGTAGAGAAGAACTTCTACTAAAAGGTGTAGAAACAATCCACTAAGCAAATTGGAAAAACTGGAATTGGTTATATCTCTGACACATCAACTAAGGTTAAACAAAATCACTATGTGTTCATTAAGGCCTCCTCAGGAGAAGTATCTACAAGGTATTCAATTATAAAACCCTTAAGGTCAAAGTATGATTCACTTGACAGCACCTACAGTAACTTAAGATTGAATGAAAGTGATTTTGTCACATCATCCATCAGGAATTTCAAAGG